TTCATCTTCAAAATACATATTCTAGATAGTGACCTCTCTGCTTTTCAGAAAAGTAATACAAATAATCACATCACCTACACACTGCCTCAGGTGTAGAGGGAAGTACTGACGGATGCTCTCAGGCCCCAGCTACCTACAATCTCTTCATCTCCCTCCCTTAGCTCATCAGTTACTGGCTGCACTGGGTCCCAGACCACAGGACTTGCAAGGTCATTTCCTTTCTAGGAAACATCTGGAAGGTAGGTACCATCTGGAAGACTTTTCCAGGAACCTCAGGCTCTGAGAACAAAGTAACTCTTACTTGGCATGTTGCCCCCCCTTTGCCATCAGCACATTGTCCCCAAAGAACACAATATTACTGACCAGTCAAAAGGAAGCACAGGGCACTGTGGACCCCTCGGTGCCCTGCCTGTGAGCTGAGCATGTGCCTCTCAGTCCCAGGGCCAATCTTACCAACCCCTTCTAGAACACAGGGATCAGGTGGCAGCAGCCTGTCTCCTGGCTCTGTGCTTAGGAAATAAACACCCCCAAAGCCAGTGTTTAGCCTGCTGTGCCATCTGGTGAGCGGATCCAGGATTTGGGGGTTCAATAACACTCCTTCATTATCAACCATGGAAATGAAATAAGTGTAAGTAATGCAAAATGATATCACCACTGACTCATAAGATTGTCTAAGCCTTAAACAAATCACGCAGAATGAAATATAAAAGAGAATGTAAGAGCACAAGGAGTTCTCATCCACTACGCTGGGAAGGGTAAGTTAGTCCACTTTTGCTACAGACAGGACTGCAAAGTCACACTTCACAGTTCAGACAATAGATGTTTTAGGCACTGAGAGACACAAGGCAACATTGCAGAGATCACTGGAGCAGTTACTTCTCTAACTATAAAAGTAATTAATTGCCCTGGGGAGACTGGGTTCCAGTTATAGTCAAGAAGTATGTTCTGGTGCTCCTCTGCTGAACTGGATAAACAGATAATGATACCATATTATATGTTTAATAAAAACTACAAGATTTCACCACAAAGGAATGATGTTAAAAGAGATACTCTAATTTGAACATGCCATTATATATATGTGTGTATATGTATGTATATATTGAAATATCACCTGATACCCCATAAAAACCTACAATTTTCATGTATCAGTTAAAAAATAAAATGAACCAACCATGGGAAGATCTCAGATTTCAGTAAGAAAGGCAGTAGGTCAGGTTGGGTACTCTTAGCTTGCACACACCTAAGGGTGTTCCCCATACAGCATTCTGGTAGCACTGGGGACTTAGAGTGCAGGTTCAAGTCCTGAGTTCCTGCTAATGTACCTAGGAAGGTAGTGGAAGACGGTCCAACTACTTGGGTCCCTGCTTTCCATGCGGGAGACCCATAGATAGAGCATTGGGCTCCTGGCTTCTGGCTTTGGCCCAGCCGTAGCTGCTGTGTCCATCTGGGGAGTGAATCAGTGGTAGAGGAGCTCTCTTTCTGCTTCTTTTCCTATTGCTCTTTTGAATAAAATAAATATCCAAGGCATTAAAAACAACACACTCATGTAAGTGGACACAGTAACTAAATAATGAAAAGCATACTAAATATTCATCATGGCAGAGAAGTGATAAATCAATGCAGCCTATTCAGTCAATGGGCTAGCACATGACTGATTTACCTAACCGCTTCCATGTATATCACGATGCAATATCCAAAAAAACAACATTTGGTAAAAACTGCAGAATCCGTGCAGGTTTGGCATCATTTATTCTGAAAGGAGGGAAACATTGTCCTTGGCCGAGGAACATAGTGTTACAAGGAGAGAAGTTGTCCACACACCACGAGTGTTCCAAGCCATGGCTGCTAATGCACTGAAGTAGACTTTCTTCAACAAAGAGTACACATACTAAGCTCAAAATTTGTGCTACAAAATATTTTGAGAATAAGTTTGCACTTAAATGATACATATTTTTGATGAACTATATATATATGAGAAACCTCTGCAACTCACTGATTTGAAGACACCCATTAATTTCACATTTTGAGAACTCTGAAATAGGAATGCATTCTTGTCACTGATGCTCAGAGTTTGTTCTTTGTCAGTATTACATGTTTTAAAAAAACTGAAAAGCAAACACTTTCAATTTTCAGTTTTAATTTAGGATTATTTTTTGACAGTCACAATGGAAAGTTATCATACGTTGATTTGGGCAAGTACTTAAATCAGTAAGAAAAAGATGAGTCCTGTCACTGAAGTATGTTAAATATAGTGAAATCTAATGTAAATGCTGCAAGAGCAATTCATACTAAATTCACCATGGTTGCTGTCCAGGCAAAGGTATGGAGCACAGGAGGGAATGGGAAGGCGGGAGGATAAGAAGAGAGGAAGGAAGGAGAGGAAGAGAAGGAAAGAATTGTTCTAGCAAGATACAAACATGATACTTTAAATTGGTCAGCAATACTTGAGTTCCATGAGTTACAAATACACTAACCGACATTATTTTTCACATTTATTAATGTATTGTTATAGCTTTAAACGCATATACCATCTCTGAGTACACACACCGTCTCAGTTAAACTTAAAAGAGCTTAGTTCTGGTGACAGCTAAAATTACCTTATAACCCTGGTAAAAAAAAAATAGCCTCAAAAAACACCATTAAGACACAAACGCATGACAATCTGGTAGAGCAAGTATGTTTGGCATCGCTACGATTACTTTCACAAATTAATACAGTGTGGAAATCAGGGAAGTTATTCAATGCTCACAAACTTGCAAACCTAGAAACCAACAGAGCTAGAACTTACACCTGAATTTCTGGACTTCAGTTCCCACTCTTGCATAACAAAAATTGCTCTGCCATGTAGACATTCTAATTCTTAATTGCTTTCCAGATTAAAAAACTGAGTGAAAAAATAAACAGTTTCAATGTTCAGTTTGTCTTAGAATTATTATTATTATTATTATTATTATTATTATTATTATTTGAGAGTCACAGTGGAAAGAATGGTGCTAGATTGGTTTGGGCAATCACTTAAATCAGTAGGACAAAGAGTTGTAAAGAGAAGCAGGTATGCAAGCTGTGCTCTGTGGGTTCCTGAAGCTCAAGAAAATGCCAGGGATCCTGGTGTGTAAGCATGGATTCCACCATCAAAACCCTATTTTTGGCCCACCCTGCCTAGAAACACCACGCACCAGTTTTAATATTTTATTTCAGTATGTGAATCATCCCTGGAGAATTTCAGTTGAAAAATACTATTTCACTAGGAAATCTATGAGGCTATTTTTTCTTCTAGCATTTATATTTTGTGACTTCGACTGAAGAATCAAAAATTCATTTGAGTGTGAAAAAATCCACACCAAAGATAACAAATAATTATACTGTCTTAATAAGAAAAATCTATTACTAGAAAACAATTAAAATGACTGTTTCCCTGCTTGGGTGACTTTAATCAAATCTATCTTGCTTTTAGACCTTGATCTCCAAGCCATTTCAGTTTCAGAGTGACTTACACATAGCCAATGCTCAATAAACACCAGTTGGATTCATGAGCGAATGGATGAATGAAATGGTGACTGACTGAATGAATGAATAACACAGATTCCAAGATCCTGAGTGAGAGGAGGCAAAGATGCCAGGGCAAAATATGCACAAAAAAAAAGCAACTCAGCCAGGTCTGAATCTGCAAGCTAGAGCTCAGTTACCAACTCCCAATATCCTTCCAATTAGCAAATATTAAAAACAAAAACAACTCCACATAAAAAAATGCTACAATTACTCCTCCTGTTTGAACCCACAGCTTTCCACCACAATACAAAGTATCCTCATAAGGTTTTTGACGGACAGTGTTTTCTGAAAGCTGATGAAATGTGTAAGTTAAGTCATGCCAGCTCTCGTAGATACTCAGACCCGAGAGTGTCCGTGGGGATAGCATGTCGTTTCTTCCTCTTTGGAGACTCTTTAGCAGAGATTTTACTCCGAGCAGACACTTGCAGTAACTCTAGGCACTGTCATCAAGGGAAGCGACAAGTAACTGCAGCATTGCTGCTTCTGAGACCGGAGGCACGTGGGGACATGTGGGAACATTTTGGCTCTAACATTGACACTTGGTGTGATGTCAGAGAGAAAACTAAAACTCCTCTAATCTCAGTTTTATCATCTGTTATCTAGGCATGCTACCTACTTTGGTTGTTTACATATTAGGAATAAAAGTGTAAAGCATTGTGCCTTCAGTACATTGCAGACTGTATTATTGTATGTAGTTGTTTCCAATTCATATGCTCTCGATAAAGGGTAAAATTTGAGCACTGGTAACATTTAATATAATATCACAGCACACATGAGCATGCTTATTATTTGGTGATGTGCATCTAAGTAATAAATGTTATTTGGGATGTTACATCAATTTTTCACAACTTTGTTTCTAATACAAAGAGAAAAACCTGCTAGTGTGACAAAAGTTCATTTTCCTAGACTTTGTTTTTTTGTTTTCTGGTGCTTTTACAATATCTGTGGCAATGTGTTCTGTCTTTCCCCATGTGTTTCTTCAGTTACACATTGTGCAAAAACACTGTGCTGGGTTTTAATTAGCTCACTGCACCCTGAGGTCTCCAGCTTCTGTCTTCAGTTTAATTACACTTGCGAAAAGGATGTGGCGAAACTGAAGAGAGTATCTCTACATGATAAAAAACAATAATGCAGTTCTGGTTTGCTCCTTAGCTCATCTGAGTGTGAATGCTCTGGGGATAGCTAAATTGGGATGTGAATGTGGGAATCCCATTTTGTTTCATCTTGTTTTTACTGCAAACACTTGTACCTGACGTGGCAACTTCCACCTTAGGAAATCTGAAATTTAGTTTTGCAAATAGTTCTTTGGTTTGCAGAAGGTTAGAACAGAAGGGATGTCATTCCATTTGTCCCTGGGCTCTCCTTTGAAAATCCGTACAAGGACAAATATCTGTGGATGTGCATTTCATTATGAATTCCAAGTTAAAACTGGAAAGAAATACTAAACTCACCAGAGTGGCAAAGAGATGATAAAGAATGAAATAAATGGCGACCACAGGTGCCCACATATGCCCCACGGCGTTGAGAGTTTGGTCCATGACGTCCACCCATCCTTCCTGGGTGAGGATCTGGAACATGGACATGAAAGCCTAAGGAAGAAGAGAAAGGAGAGATTACACAGCGGTGTCAGGCCTGCATGCAACTGAAAACTAGCTGACGGTTGAGAACTATCCTATTATTGATTTTCATTTGATTGATTAAGGAAAAATGTCTTGATGCAATAGATGGAAAGTGTACAGAACAAAGATTCTTTAAAGTCTTATAACTACTTGGTATTTAAACTAAAATGATTATCCAGGATCAAAATTAACCTTCTGGTCAAAACTGTTGGACAGATTAGAAAAAAAAAAGCAAAAAAAAAAAAAAAAAACCCACACACACGAAAAAAACAAAAAAAGAATCTTTGTTTTCCTTGAATCTTTTATCTTTTTAACAAGCTAATTATTTAACATTTCCAACAGATTTTTTTTGATTCTGCAATTATGAAAAATTTATTGTCATAGTGAATTACATTTGATTGTCTAAAGCATGTAAGAGACTTATCGCTTTATTTTTATTTTTAGTGTAACCACCTCCAAAAATTTCAGCTATCATATTAAAAGCAAGTGGCTCTTAAAAAAAAGAAATCTCAATGATATTGCCGTGCAGAGTAACATAGTACTGACAAGCACTTTTTTTTTTTTCCATGATTTTTAAAGTTTTCAAGGCACGGAGTCAAGATCATGGGAGAAAGCTAGGAAACAAGTTAGATTATCCCAACAAAAGTGAAGCTGAAAGGTTCACGTCCTCTTTAGCTAGCTCCTACATGTTGTTCTAATTAAATACATGGTTTTATATACACACCCTTGGCTTATATAGCTGTTGATAATTGCTTCTTACTAGCTTTTTATGATGATGTCTCAAAAGTTGACATTTGGAACCCAATGACTCTTTAAAAACTCTTCAAACTTCATGTCAATGAAGTCATAAATGAAATGATCAGGTGTTGCGAAGCTAAGAAAACAAAGTGCAAGATAATAGACAGACTGAGCCCAAGGTGAGTTCTCAGAGCCAAATAGGGCCTTGCAGATAACATGATCATGAGTCTCTCTTTTTGAAGATAAGGAAAGCCAGGCTCAAAGCTAAGAGATTCAGCCCAGGGTCACCCCATCAGTGTGTGGTTCTAATAGAAATAGCATGGAGCACTCTGACTCCGGAACAAGGACTTTTCCAAGTACTGCATCCAGGGCACTTAGTAAGCCCCTGGGCATAGTTCCCTTTGCTTTGGACTAGGGATTGTTTTAGAAATACAGCTCTTGACTCCCAATGTTCAGAACATAGTGGACCCAAGTAATAAGGGAACAGCTAATCATTACAGGAATCTTGAACTAGGAGGGTTTTTTTTTTCCCTATTTAAACTTTAAACATATGTGAAGTACTTAACTTCTTGAGTTAATCTTCCCATAATCATATCATCCTACAAAATGTTTTGTTCCTGAAAGTATGAAATATGTTGTTATTAATACACCATCATCAACAACAGTAATCTCCTTGACAGGATGCCTAGGGAGAAGGCAACTAACCAGAAAAATTAGCTTCAGACATTCTATAAAAGCATTTGAGAATTTTCAACACATCATTTAACTTCCTAAGTATGCCAGAACTTCTTATTTAGGGAACTACGCCTTCCCTGTTTTTCATTTTGTTAAATATTTATCACATCCCAAAGCAAGAAATCCATGGTCTAAAAAGAATTCAATGCAGAAATATCAAATTGCTCTATTTTGCTCAACAGAGCTGTCGCCAGTGCAAAAGCATGCTGTAAACGTCTTACAGACTCCATTGTAACAGGTGAAGTTTCAAAATACCCACAACTGCAAATGCAAACAGGATTTGATTGGACATGGCCCTCTTTCCCCAAAAGTGACACAAGAAGCAGGTGCCTTGGTCCAACAGATTTGGTACTGAGAGATCAAAATCTCATGTGCACTTTTCAGCAATCTTGGACCCAAACCAATTTTGTTTGTGTTCATTTACTGCATTAACTTTCATGACTATTCAGCATTCTAAGTTCAATAAATGCCTGGGACTGAGAGCCACCACACTGTAGTCTGTTGCTGTGAGATAAGCACTGTGGGCAAGAAAAATATATTGGCATATACTTTTTTCAGAGTCTGAGAAGGAAAAAAAAGAATTTCCACACAGCCCAACCCACTGCCTAAAAGCTCATATTGTGAGATGCTGTGGATTACATCTGAGAGCAACACTTTCTATGACAATAGGATTTGTATGTTTATAGCTGCTTACACAAAGAAACCAACAAGAAAGTGCCATGAAATACTTGTATTGGAGGCTGAAAATTAATTTGTCTCTTGCTTGAAAGAAGCTTGGGTTTAACTGTGATTTTATCCAGAAATTTCAATTCAAATTAGCATTTGAGATTGTGCATCAAGTATTCTTACTGACTTACACAACTCTGGTGCGTTAGGCCTGTTTGCTTTGAGGAACCATCTCAGCTTTATCTGAACAAACACCATTAATGACTACTAATGAGTCCTGTGTTGGTCCGGAGATGAGTAAGACATGATTCCTTAAGAACTGTATTGTCAGGAGGGAAAAGAAAAGGTGAACATAACTTGGAAAGGAAAAAGATGCCCAGCTTCGAAAAGACGGGTGGGGAAGAAAAGCATGGTGCCTTATAGAAATGTGGGCAGCTACCTAGAAACTGCAGAGAAGGTCCAATGTGCTTCTCTTGGCTATCAAGGCCTGCTTTGGGAAGATGATGGCAACTGCCTATCATAATAAAGATGAGCAGATTATCAATGGTGAGGCATGCTGTGATGAACAAAGCCAGAAATAGGCTGCATCTTTCTGAATTAGCTCTTCATGTTTCTACACTGTTGTCCCACACTGCACATTTTTTTTTCAATTGGGGTTTCAATCAACTATATAAGCTAGAAACACCATGATTTTAGCTGTAGTATACACTTAATATAGTTTTCTCTAGCCATTTGACATTTTAAAAGAGATTTATTTATTTTTAATAGAAATGCAGATATACAGAGAGCAGGAGAGACAGGAAGGAAGATCTTCCATCTGATGATTCACACCCCAAGCGGCCTCAATGGCTGGAGCTGAGCCAATCCAAATCCTGGAGCCATGAACCTCTTTCGGGTCTCCCATGTGGGTGCAGGGTTCCTAGGGATTGGGCTGTCCTTGACTGCTTTCCCAGGTCACAAGCAGGGAGCTGGACAGGAAGCAGGGCTGCTGGGATCAGAACCAGTGTGCATATGGAACCCCAGTGGGTTCCAAGTGAGGACTTTAGCCAGTAGGCTACCGCGCTGTGCCCCATGTATGACATTTTTGCAAACAAATTTTAATGTGTGATCTAATGTCTTTCCTTTTATTAAGAGTTTTTATTTTTCTTTAATAACTTGTCTTACTGTGAGAGAGAGCAACAGAAAGCACGAGTGAGAAAGAACAGACTCCCATCCACCGGTTCACCCCCGAAAGCCCAAAACTTCGTTCTTCCATCATAACTGGCTTCTCCATGCATCTCAACAAGTTGATGATCAGCAGGCAACAAGATTCTGTGAGAACATTGCTCACTGTTGAGACAGGTAATGTTCTAAAGTTATATTTCCTCCTCTTACCTCCAGCATGAGGTGAGAGAAGGGAAATGTTCAAAGTTAAACAGTTTCCCTTTCTTGCTTTTCCGTACTGTAAAAGGAAAGTGTTCAATGTTAAACAGATTTCCTATCTTAAGTTTTAGTGCTATGAACTGGGTCCAGTTTGGTTTGAATTATTTGAGCCTTAGCTTTCTTATACAACTTTTGGATTTATATTGCTTTTATTGGGATTTTGATTATTTTTCATACAACTCAATGTGAAAGGAGCCTTTCTTCCATGTTCCCCCAGAGCTTCCAGGTGATCACACAATCTGCCTGTCTGCATTCCTTCTTTCCTTCAGTTGCCCAGAGGCCGCCTGATTCTTCCTGTCACAGACATGTTTTCTGGGCGCACTTTTTCTAGTTGTCACGTACACCTGCTGTATAGTGGTGATTTCTTCCCCTAACTTTCTGGCCTCCGTCTCCTCAGCTCTTGCAGGGTCTTCCTGGCCACCACGGGCTCAATTCTCTCAGTTGAGTCCTCCTCTCTGGTTGGCTGTTTCAGTATGAGGAAGGAGCTTTGTCATGGCTAAGTGTTAGTCAATGTGATGGGCCGTCTGGCATGCCAACAATTCAGCCATGGACTGGCATCGAGGTCAGTAAGCTACCATTGTCACTCAGGAGACTCCACATGAGGGTGCTGAGAACAGAACCTCTGTGAGGGGAGAGAGGGCAACTGGAGAAACATGCCTCTTTGTCTTGAGTCTCCTGGCCCCTGGGGTTTCTGTTTTTCTCTTTTTATACTCTCATGATGCGAAGCTTCTATTTATTGTGCAAGAGAATTCCTTTTCAAAAATCATGAACGTTTGCCACCATGCTTAAGCTTTCTCCTCAGCCTGCCAAAACGAAAGCCATGAGAGCCCAGCTGTGTGTCTTGCCTCTGGAGTGAGTAGCTTCTACATCTGACGCGGGCTTATTTCTCTCCAGAACTCTGCAGACTGCTGGGTGGGATTCTCCTTGGGGTGAGGGACATGACTGTCTCCTATAAGATTTGCTTTGCCAACTTTGATTCTGATTTCTTGCACGAAACAGGCCCATGGGCTGAGCCTATGACATGATTCTTGCCCATCCATTCTTCTTCCCACCCTCCCTCTGCCTTACTCTTTAATAGCTGCTATTTTAAAAAATGCTATGAAATTGTAGACTTTCCTTTATGCAGTTGCAATGATGTATTTTTCCAGCTGATTATTTCATTCATTTCCATCAATTTTAGGGGCGGGAAGATCTGTGATTTTGTTCTCAAATCCCAGTGACAATAGGACTAAACAATCTTGTAGATAAGTGCATTTCTTTCTGTATTGCTAATGACATAATCACACACGAAGCATTTGCAGACACCAGCCATTGTTAACACTGCTGTTGTTGGAACCAGGCAAGAGCAGTCAATCTGAATATGAGACATTCTGGAACAAGCTACTCTTCCTCACCAGGGCAGGATTACA